CAGTTAATAAAGAAGAAGATTGAGGACAACAGTGAGCATCGTCTTCATCAAGCAACAGAGTGACGTCAGACTCGTGAAGATCCCTGCTGCCTACAGCATCAACAACTGCTTTAAAAAACATGAAGATAGTATTTGATTTCCTCGTTGGGTCAATGAAATATTTTTGAATTTCCTTTTGATTTATTTCTCTATTACTAGTTTTTCTATTATTAGTAACAGCTTATTCTCATGTTTTTGGTTTTCTCATAAATATTAAAAAATAAAACAAATTTCTTGTTGAACTGTGATTTACAACAGATGGATCCTGGATGTTTCAGTAACAAACGCAACAGACTGACCAACCCCTAAAAAACATGGATCAAATATATATAAATATAGAGTGAAGCGGGTACATTTATTCTAAATACATTTTTAAATAATCATTTTAAGTGTATTTTAATTAATTAATTATACAGATAAATAATAATGCTCTCTGAAATGTAATGGTATATTTAATTACTGAATTAGAAAACTTTTATTGTCATTTTGTACACACAGTGTATAAAAAATGAAATTGCTTTTAGTACAGCTTTCCAGACAGTAAATGAACATTTTCATTCCATAAAGTGCTGCAGTGATCAAATGGAAACAATTCTTGAGGAAAAAACATGGTGCAAATAAATGCATTTATTATTATTTATTATTTATGGAAGTTCAGAGCTTTAAATATGCAGTATTTTTTTTATCAATGTAATGCAGAGTCTGTGACGTAATTTAGAGTTTTCTCAACAGTGCAGCGGTCTGATGGCGGTTTTCCTGGGTCAGCCTCTCGCCTTTGCTCTGGAGATCCCTTTGGACATCTGGGGTCTTGGGTCTCCCGGAGCTGGCCTCGGTGCTCTGGGGGGGTGCCTCTTCGGCTCTCCACAACCACTGTTGAGCATTTTACCTTTGGATAACTACATGTGTTTGGTAACAGGTACTTGGTTAAATAATACTACGTATACTTCAGTGATATTATCAAGGTGTTACTTTATTGTATCTCTAATACTATATCCGTTGGTTGTGCTTTTTACATCTCTTTGCAGGTGATGAAGCAGACAAAAGACATTTATCTCCTCTTTCTTTCATCTTTTCTCCTTTTTCCTGTTTTCCCTTTCCATATATATATATATATATATATATATATATATATA